TACCTCAAAACATTAAAACACATATTTCGTCTACACGTGTTTCTTGTCAACACTCAATGGAGTAAACTAATATACATGTAAAAAAAACAAAGACATCAAGCAGCTACGTTGCCGTTTCGCTCCCTGCAAAAAATCTTCTGACTTTCTTTGACTGATTGAACTGGGGCTGGCCGCGCAGGACATAACCGACGGACCTGTGAAGCTTTACGGCCCGTCCACACAGCGGCGTGTGTTGAAGCTTGCCGGCGGGCGTGTCTGAAACTCGACCAACAACCAATCACATGAATCTCCCGCCCCTGACACACAAGCAGCGGTTTGATTGGCTAGAGCTTGTACTGGCATATGATTCGATTGGCTGACGCTTCTGCCGAGGCTTCAAAAGTTGAACATTGCTCAACTTTTGCAGCGAGCCACGCCAGCAACGCTCCACTTCTCACAATGCAGTTTGGTGAAAAGTGACGTCACCCCATTCAAAGTGAATGGTGAAGCTTTCAACGCACGCCGCTGTGTGGACGGGCCGTAACGGGAGGCAGAAGCTTAGATCACTGGACAACAGAGTTGTTCACCGTGTGCACAGACCGGGTTAACGTCGGTATGAACAACAGAATTGTGCCAAAACTCCGCCAACTGGCTGCAGGGGGAGACTCCCCTGTGCACATTCTGTGCTCCGCGCACACACTGGAGAACTGCGCAAAATCAGCTGATCACAACGTTCATCCTCTGTGGTCAAGCTGCTGCAGTTTTATTTACAACAAAGTGGAGTAAAACACACAGTTGCAAACTTATCCACGGCGTTAATGGAAGAGTTTGAAATCAGACAGAGGTGGAAGAAGTACTCAGATCTTGTATAGGAATACTCTGTTACAGTACAAGTCCTGCATTCAAAATGTTACACAAGTAAAAGTATAAAAGTATTCTCATCAAAATATAGTTAAAGTAGCGACAGTAAAAGTAGGGATTGTGCAGATTGGTCCATTTCGGGGGGTGCCAACACTTAACCATAAACTTTATCGTTTACTTTCTCCGTCTTTATATGTAGATAGGGATGGATGGGTATCGAGAACCGGCACTAAGTCAATACCGGTACCTGATTGGACGGTATCGGTATTGTTAAGCCGCTGGACAAGCGGTGCTGCTATCGGTAGATGTGTTACGTCTACTTCCTTAGTTTAACTTTAAACCATTCTGGTTGGTTGGGAACCCTCATCCCGTGTGATGTATCCGGTTTGAGACCCCTCTGATTGGCCACTGTAAATGCCACTCGTCATCTCTCTCAACCGCGCTCTTATTATTGTTGTGAGATTCCCGCCGGCATGGCGGACAGAGCGAAGCGATCGATGGTCTGGGTGCACTTTAAAAAATGTAGTGGCGATAGTGCAAGGTGCAATCTATGTACTCAATTAGTTGCTTGTAAAGGGGGTAACACGAGCAACTTAATGAAGCATTTGCAAACGAGACACTCATTGAATCTAAAACGGTGCAGCGTATTTGACAGCCTAACGATGTGGCTGCTAGCGATACTGCTAGTGCTAATAGTGCTAGCGGGCTTCAGCCGCGCCGTGTGTAAATGTGACCTGAGCGAAGGCTCGCAGGCAGGTTAGCTGCTGCGCACGGGTAATATGTAATATGTTTTGTTTACCTGAGTGCAGTCTTGCAGGCACATTGCCTTGTCTTGTTTTAGTTTGTTAATACTGACAGTGTTTTAATGTGAGCTCCTACACCTATAATAATGTGGCCTTTCATTTAATGCTTTATAAACCAGTTAAACTTACAGATGTCATTGTGAATTGAAAAACTGCATTTAAATGTTGTTAAAGGTCAATGTTTCAATGTATGGTTCAGCAATTGTTGGTCGTTTTCTAGGAATTGACATATTTTAAGCTCAAATACGTTGTTCTATGTTTAAACCTTCAGACACATGTTGACGTGTTTCAGTTCAGCACATAATTTATTTTGTGATGATTTAAAAGTACAATCCAGAATAATATACGCATTCGCCTTTATCTTTTTGCCATCTTTGCCTTTTTACCAATTTCTTCAAATCACAGTTTTGCATGATGTCACTGTAGGACAGGGGTGTCAAACTCAAGGCCCAGGGGCCAAATCCGGCCCGCCACTTCATTTTATGTGGCCCTGCAAGAGCTTACAATGAATATAATGAGTTTATTATAATGTTATGTGCCGCTTTACAGGAGAACGTTGCCCATAAACTACATGTCCCACAATGCATCTCATTTTGTGACATGCGTAATGAAGAGACTTGCAATTATTTTCCCTAGACTTCTGCTTTTCAGACGTAGTTAATTATGAAGTTATTACCCTATCTGATAAAAATCCAATGAAGAGGCAATAGTGTAAAATAATACATTATTGTATATTTATCTATGTATATTTATATAGTCTTAAAGTTACCACTGGCCCTTTGAGTGCAACCATAATTCTAATGTGGCCCGCGATGAAATTGAGTTTGACACCCCTGCTGTAGGACAATGTGTTAAGGATCTCTTGTCGAGCTAGGTTGTCAGTTTGAAATGTCTGGATGTAGATGTAACTGATTTACAAATGTTAAAAAATGTTTAAAAAAATGCCTCTTTTCATCCTCTGTCTGAGGGGAAACCTCAACAAGCATGAAAGGGCGAGCCAGGACCTTTAAGTTATTTGATTTAGTTTTGTCTGCTTCTGAGAAGCTAATGTAAGTTATACACAGGGGTGCACATAACTTTTTTGCCCTGGTTCTCAAAGGAGCACCTGGAGATGTTGCTTGGTGCTCATCCTTAAAATGAAATAAACCGTAACTTTTGAGGGGGTCTTTTATTTGCCAGACACACGGCACTGAACACACATGCAGAGGGGAACACAGAACACACATGCAGAGGTGAACACAGATTAGCACCAGATGCTAATAACAACAGCGCCGGTACCGTTGCACCCTCCCTCGCTCCCACCGTTCTAATTATACATCCATGGCTCCCACGCTCACTCGCACTTTGGCTGTGAGCTGCAGGTGCCAGATAAGCCAACATCCCCCATTTTCATCACTTACAGCGCCCATCGTACAGGGCAAATTAAACGTGTAACCGGGGTGAAAAGGGTGTTACATTTACTTAATTATGAATATTGTTACATCAAGGCCGAAAATTAAGATGAGCCCCAACGGTCAAAAATGTTTTTTTGCGCCTTTTTTCAAATGACCCGGTGCTCTTTTTTTGGCGGAGGTGCGCATGGTTATAGTTATTTTACAAAATGACTGTTTAATCTTCACATCTTGTATCCATGTCTATAATTTTGAGCACCAAATTATTGAAAAGTATCGATAAGAGTATCGAAAAATACCGGTATCGATAAAATCCCAACGATACCCATCCCTATATGTAGATATAGCTTTTCTCCATTAATCTCCGTCACGTTGTTTCCATAGCAACAACAACATCCTGTCAACAGCGCTAACTCTCCTTCAAAATAAAAGCATGTCCATAAAAAATAGAAAGCCAAGCCAAATGATACTTAAGACATACACAACTGCAATGAAAGTAACAAACACAATGTATACATTAACAAAATTAAACAACAATACTGTAGAATAACAAAATGAATGCTGCAAATAAAACCGAAATACACGTGTTGAAGCGGTACGCAGCTGATTACTACGCAACCCCCCCCGCGGGCCGAATATTCGCTGCTGATTACTACCAAATATCCGGAGCCCGAAATGTTGTTATTAGGGACAGCCCTACTGCAGGGTAGCTTGTGGATTTACTCCAGGTGGAACTAAAGTCTGATTTAACACTTGATTATATTTCACATCATTCATCCACATCTGTGAAGTAACTAAAGGTATTAAATAGATGTAGTGGAGTAGAAGTACACCATGTACCTCTGAACTGTAGTGGAGTAGAAATACACAGTAGCATCAAAGTCAAGTAAAGTACAAATATCTCAAAATTGTACTGAAGTAGAGTACTTGAAGAAGTGTACTTAGTGACTTCCCACATCTGAAATCAGATCTGACTTCCAGTCATGTGATCATTTCTTAGTATTTGATCCTTCAACTTGGCCTCAGGAAATGCAAGGACTTCACAGTTTTGGCAACAAGTTTTGGAGAAAGCAAATCGGAGGCTTAAAAAGAGACAGGGAGGTGCATGCATCTTCATCATCTAGCATGCAATAAGTGTGAATAGAGGACAGTGAAGGAGACACTGAGGAGGACCACGCTTCGTGTGGGGTGAGTACCAAACGCTGTCTCCTGGTACTCATCTGAGTAACTCACTAAAAAGGTTATGTGCAGTGTGGAGTCTATTTTTAAATAACATTACAAGACTGATTCTTATTATTACATTATATGCTTATTGTGCTCATTTTATGTTGCTATGGCTTTGGAATAAATAGACAAAATCACTAATCCCAGGTTCTGATGGATTGGATAGGAAACGAAGGGAAAAGTCATAGAGAAAGTTTTAGCTTGCAATATTAATGTAGCAACGCCAGGTGCAGACACTGTAGAGACAATGAGTTACTGAGGCTCTGGCCTTGGCCGTGAGGGTGAGCTCCGCGCTCACGCATAACTGGGAACCAGCATCATGAAGGTTTTCCACTATATCTGTAGAAAACTTTAGCAAAAACAAATGACGTATGATAGCGACAGAGTAGGGAGGGACTTTTCACCGGCCAGCCGAATGCTGATTGGAGGTCATGTTGCCAAGAGACTTTGTATAACCCCTCGACTCGCGTTACTGTTGAGCCGCGGCGTTCGCAGAGATCGTGGGTGCTATTCCACCAGACTTGGCTCAGACAATTCGTTCTTATTATACATCCATGCAAGACGGCGGTCGCAATTGCGCAGGTCTGCGTCGTTCTCGCTCGTCTCAAACAAGCCTAGTCTGTGCAACAAAGTCTAAGCACTCCCCAACTAGTCTCAACCAATCATAAATGTTCGCCCTCTGTAATAAAATGTACTGATGCACGAGGTTCGAGGCTTTTTTACGGAAATAGTGGTTACAGACCTGCTCTGTGGATCTGAAGCTGAGGCTGTAAAACAGCGTCCAGTAGTTTCCGGTGTCTCTCGTTCTCCTGTTTTGAACGAGACAGTTCCTCCTCGTACTCTGCTATCGTTCTTTCAAACAGAACAAAGATGTCTTCAGCAGCTGCAGTGAGTCGCTGCTTCACCAACGAGAGCAGCACAACACTCATGTTTACTAAATCACCACTTCCTGTTTCTCTCACTCTGTGTTGCTAGCGTGTTACCAGCTAGCATGCTAAGCTAGCTTCTAGAGTCCGAGGCTTCAGAAGAAAGAGCACAAAGTCAGAGGTTCATCCAGACACACAGACGATGGATGGATCAGCTGCTCACACACACTTCCTCAGGAACACCGAGAGAGAACCATGGATGTAGAGAGAGAACCGACGAGACACGATCTGGTTCCAAGCTAGAAGGAGCGGGACCATCACTTCCGGTGCAGAGGATTTCAAAATAAAAGCGGATATGATTTCCCCTTAAACAATACCTAAAGACCTTTAAGATACACAGACATGGAGCTGCGGAGAGAAACCTGTTTATTTCTCCTGAAACACCTTTATCTATAACAGAGTATTCCCCCTCTTCCTGTAGTATCATATTTGTAAGAAGAGAAAGGTGAAGAGAGAAAACCGTGGGTTTTATTGTGAAGGCCAGCACCGGAAGTTGTGTTTCAGGCTCGCCGTTAGCATGTTGGGTAAACAAGAAACCCTGGTTTCCGGTGGAATTGTCCAAAAATCAGCTCCTCTCGTCTTTTCCAAACCAAGACGAAAAGACGAGCTGATTTTTGGACAGTTTGTCTCTGCATGAGTTTTAAAAGTGTCTCTGACTCTTTACAGTCTCAACAAGTGTATCTCTGTTAGCAGGGATAACAGCTAATGCATCATGGGGGTTGTAGTTTTTAAACTCTATAGAGATCCAGGGGAAGAAAAACAGTGCCATCAAGGGGTGGAGCTACAGCAACACATGGGGGCAATACAACCTGGAACTTCAATAAAAGAGAACGACTAATCTAATAGAGAGAATAAATACATAAATAATTAAATACTTATTGTAGCTCTTTTCACGACACAGACACAGGTCGGTTCTTTAAAACGGGCGTTTATTTCTTGGGAGTTTTCATCCTGTAGTCTTCCCTCTTCCGTTACGCCGTGAGAACTACAACACCGAAATGACACGCATACATAGCCAAACACATTAGCATATTGTGCTACACATATGAATGAAAACAAGAAAATGAAAACACAAAACAAATACCTCGTTGGCCGCTTGTCGTGAAAGGAGATTAATTTAGTTCCTTTTCTGCATAACTTCGTCACAGACCTCCCGTCACACTAAACTTTATCACAGACCTCAGCAGAGCTTCAAAAAGACGTCAACCCACATGAGTTGTACAGTGTAACAGCAAAACACGCAGTACCAGCACATGAACAAACATTAGTTCCTAGGCACAAGAAACACATACGCATATCGGCCCAAGATGTAAAACAAACTGTATTAAATCATGCCATATTTAACGATTATAAATAACATGAAATAAAGTATTCATTTATCCAATTGAACTATGACATTAACCGTGTTACTCCTTTTAATTAAGGCAACTTCGTTACGTCATTTACACTCCCACCAAATCACTCATTAACTCAAATGTGGGATTTCGTTCAAACAAAATGCAAAGAAACAGTCAAGTGTTTTCAGTGTGTATGACTATACTCTCATGTATGGGACTTAAGTGGCCTGAAGTAAGGTGACTACCTTATGAATAGGTCTTTCGAGGTAGACTAGTCTAGTGTGTGGTTTTCCTTTATCAAGTGTAGTGTTACTGACTAGTAACTTTAGCTTTCGCACCAAGCCGTCTGTTCCAGGGTGAGTTTCTACAACTCTGGCGAGCTTCCACTCATTTCTTGGTAGGTTGTCGTCTCGCAGAATGACAATGTCATCTACTTGTGAATTTTGTGATGCCTTTGGCCATTTCTGCCGCTGTTGGAGGTTTAGCAGGTATTCTCGTTTCCATCTTCGCCAGAACTCATTGGCTAAGAACTGCACTCTTCTCCATCTCTTGCGCAGATAGAGGTCTTCTTTACAGAACTCTCCAGGAGGGGGCAGAATAACTGATGACTTCATGGTTATTATGTGGTTGGGAGTGAGAGGCTCTGGACCAGTAGGATCGTGGAGGTGTTCAACACTTAACGGCCTGCTGTTAATTATTGCCATTGTTTCGTAAAGGAATGTTCTCAGAGTTGTGGTGTCTAGTCTGCTTGCAGACTTGTCTAACATGACTGTCAGAATGCTTCGAATCGTTCTGATTTGGCGTTCCCAGACTCCTCCCATATGGCTTGCTGAAGGAACATTCATTACAAATTCGCAACCAATTGCTCGTTGACGTTCCTGATCCATTCCTTTGAGCAACTCAGAAAACTCCCTCCTGGCACCAATGAAGTTTGTTCCTTGGTCGCATCGTAATTGGCGCACAGGTCCTCTGATTGCTACCATTGTTCGAAGTGCATTCATGAAGGCATCTGTCGTCAAATCGTCTAGCGTCTCTATATGCACCGCTCTGGAGCATAGGCAGGTAAACAACAATCCATATCGTTTTACCTCCTTTCTTCACAATAAAGGGACCAAAACAATCTATACCGCAGTAAGTAAACGGAGGGGATGTCTCGGTTCTGTCTTCTGGCAGATCGGCCATTTGTTGAGTCTCTGTGGTTCTTCTGTATTTCCTACATTTTACACACTTGTAGATGTGTGATGAAACTACATTTCCACATCCCAGGATCCATATTCCATTCGCACGTACCTCATTCATTGTCATGCCTCTTCCTTGGTGATGTACACGCTCATGATGATGTTTGACGAGCAAGGCGGACACATGAGCTTTCTTCGGAAGTATTGCAGGATGTTTTATGTCATGATGTAAGGCTGATTGAGATAGCCGTCCTCCCACCCTAAGAACATTGTTCTTGTCCAGGAAGGCATTCAACAGGTGTAGCTTGTTGTGCTTGTTCAAGGTGCTTCCCTTTTGAAGCTGAACTGTTTTAATTTCTTCGGTGAAGGCCTCTTCTTGCACCAGCTTGATAATAAAGATTTCTGCTTCTCTTCTTTCTGCAAGGTTAGTTGCTTCATTAGTTCTTGGCTGAAGTCTCCTGGATTCTCTGACAAATCTCTTGAGTCTTGCGACAGCTCTCACTGTCCTGGACCAGTCAGAAAACTTAGAGAAGCGGTTCAACAGTGAATTTTCTTCCTTAGTTTTGACTGTGTGAACATGAACTTTGCGAAGTTCAGGATCGTCTGTTTCCACTGCTCTCACCTTCTCTTCACATGGAAGGTTCAGCTGGAAAAGAAAGTCAGGTCCTTTTAGCCAGTTAGACTCTTTGAGCTGAACTGCGCTCAGCCCCCTTGAGGCGTAGTCGGCTGGGTTATTTTCAGAGCTGACATGTCGCCATTGTTCAGGGTTGGTGCTAGATCTTATGCGCTGGATACGGTTGGCAACAAACGTGTGGAACCTCTTGGCATCGTTGTTCAAGTAACCAAGGACTACCTTTGAGTCAGTCCAGTAATATTCTTGCAGGTTTTCAATCTCCAGCTCGCGTTTGATGACATCACCATTGCGTACTGAAGTCACAGCTGACGACAACTCAAGTCTTGGGATAGTCGTTAGTTTGGTAGGGGCTACTCTTGCCTTCCCCATGATGAGTGAGCAATTGATCTGACCTGTTTTGCTTATAGCTCTGAGGTAAGAGCATGCACCGTAGCCGTTGGTACTTGCATCTGAAAAGTTGTGCAGTTCATATTGTTTGACCTCGCCAAAGCTTGATGGAAGATAACATCTTGGAATTTTTAGGGTTGCCAAGTGAGATAAACCTCTAAGCCATGACTCCCATTGTGGCAGGATATGAGCAGGGAGAGCTTCGTCCCAGCTCACTCTGTCCCGACATAGAGTCTGAAGGATTTGTTTTCCGAGGAGCACAAAGGGGGCCACAAATCCAAGAGGATCAAAGACAGAGGCAACGGTTGAGAGAACTCCCCTCCTTGTCAGTGGATTTTCCTTAACCACAACTCTGAATTGGAATTCATCTGCTTCAACACACCACTGAACTCCAAGTGCTCGCTCAATATGAAGTTCTCCAAGTGTTAAGTCTAGATCCTTGTTTTTGGCAAGTTCTTCAGGTGGTATTGCGGCAATCACCTCTTTGTCGTTGGATACGAACTTGTGAAGACGAAGATCTCCTGTTCTGCACAAGGCTCTTGACTCTTCAACAAGACAGATGGCTTCAGCCGGTGACCTTACACTTATTAGGCCATCGTCCACATAGAAACTTCTCTGTATAAACTTGATGGACTCTTCACTGAACTTCCCATGACCCTGGGATGCCAGATGTTTGAATCCAAAGTTGGAGCAGCCAGGGGATGACGCTGCTCCAAACAGGTGCACTCTCATCCTATATACTGAAGGTTTTGAGTCCAGGTCGCCTTTGTCCCACCAGAGAAACCTTAGGTAGTTTTGGTGTTCCTTTGTGACATGAAATTGGTGGAACATCCGTTCAACATCGCACATTATGGCTACCGGACCCTTTCTAAATCTACATAACACTCCAATGAGCGTGTTTGTCAGGTCGGGACCAGTCAAGAGATGATCGTTTAGAGAGGTTTCTTGGAAACGTGCTGAACAATCAAAAACCACACGGATTTTTCCGGGTTTGTGGGGGTGGTAGACTCCGTGGTGCGGAATGTACCATGATATTTGGTTGTTGAGTTCAGACTCTGGAACCTTCTCAGCATCGCCTCTGGTTATTATGTCATTCATGAAATGAACGTAATCCTTGTAATACTGTTCATTTCTCCTTAGTCGTCTTTCCAATGTGATCAGTCTGTGAACTGCAGATCGTTTATTGTCAGGGAGATGAGGGTTATCCGATTTGAAGGGAAGAGGGAGTTCATAGTGGCCGTCTTCTCTTTGGCGGATACCTTCCTTCACTTTAGACAAGAAGAGAAGGTCCTCCTGAGACACTTGGTTATCATCTGTAGTGTGTTCAGTGAAATCCGACTCGAGAACCTTGAGTATGTCTGTTGGATGGATCTCTTTGACTTGAGTTTTGCACACAAAGTGTACTTCTCTCTTCAGCTGAATTGCTGGCTGGACAGCAGGTGTTACTTGTCGCACTACGATTCTGTGACTAGTTCCTATTGTGTCACAGTAATCCTTTGCTGGATTCGAGCAACCGACGATACTCCAGCCAAGATCCGTCCGCTGTGCATATGGATAATTGTCTTTACCGGATAGGATCTCTCTTGGAAGAAGGGCTTGCTGACAGTTATATCCGATTAAAAGACCTACTTCGCAATCCAATGGTGGTGGAATCTTGTCTGCCAACTGTTCCAAATGTGGCCATTTTAGAGCTGTCTCTGAGGTAGGAATGTG